TGTGTGAATGTGTGAGGATTGGCTTACATGTCTGACTCTCAAATTATTTCATCTATTGTTGCATTTCTCATGCATTCAAGAACATCTTACTTGAAAAATAAATGAAGTAACAAAGGATTACAATTTTGGAACAGATTTACAAATGATTTATAACAAAACAGCTAAATAAACAGTCACATGAATACATTAGTACAAACTTTAATTAACATAAAACATTTATACTTTTCTCAGCTGCAAAAGTCCTTTAGGCTGATTTGATAGTGGGTTTTCCCCTGTAAATCATAATGAGAAATGAATGCTAAGTATTCAGATGAGAAGAAAGGTAAGTATAATAATCACCTCAGGGTAAATTCCATGGATGGGACTGACTGACCTCAGGCTATCCTACATAGGGTTGTAAAATTCCTGGAATTTTACATATACGGTTTTCCAGAAATTCTGATTGGAGGATTCCAGATTTCCTGCTTATTCCCTCCTGATTCTGGGACTCGTCCAACCGTGTGCCCTTGAGCAAGGCACTTAACCCTAATTGCTCCTATAAGTCGCTCTGGATAACAGTGTCTGCTAAATTACTAAAAATGTTATGTAAATGTATATTCTATCAAGCTGTGACCTGATTCTCTTGCATGTTATAAAAGGGGATAATGGTGGATATATTTTTATATGGAAACCTGGATCACTGGACAAAATAGAAGCAGGATGAAGAGCTGAATGGATTCTGGGGCTCTGTTTGTCAATCGAGGGTGGATGTGGCCCATTAGGTTTCTGAGCGGCCATCTTGTTTTTCTAGATGATGCATCTGTCTTCAGCAGTTTCACCAAAATAATGGTGACCTCATAAAATAATCAATTTGAGCAATGTTTCTGGTTTCATTTCTGTACGTTGAGTCACTACAGTCATTATGGTTGGTTGTTTATGACATGGGATCACCTTACTTTCTGTTCTTAGTGGAAAATAAATCCAGTCATTTAAAAATAAATCCAGTAGGTCACCATGTAGTTCACCATGTTCTTACACAAGAGACAAGAACATGTGTGTGTGTTTGTGCGTGCGTGCATGTGTGTCTCTATGTGTGTGTGCGTGTCTATGTATGTGTGCCTCCACACGTGTACCTCAATTTCCCTCTCTGCACCTCCATAGTGCAGCTATGTCTCAGAGAACTCTTGTCAGGTATTTGAATGAGCAGGGGGAAACCTGCAGTGGGAAGCTTGGCGCCTGCTGTCCTTATTATCTATAATACAGCAGCTGCACTGCCTGCTCTTTGTTGTTCGCTCATGAATAGAGAAATGAATGTGTGGAATGACAGAGGTGAACACTGAGGGGAGAGACAGGGCAGCACATTTTAATCAGCCCAGATAGAACAATCACTTTTTCCACCTCCATGGCTCAGAGGTGAATTAGCATTTAACATTCCAGGGCATGCTTGGTGACAAGGCTCTGGCGGAACACAACCAATAGACTGGAGCGATTTCTGAGCACCTCTCTGACGTTTTAGATTAGTGAATGTAATATGCCCCAGGGCTTGGAGACATCATGTTTCAGGGAACAATTTCTATATGGTAGCTACTATTGTGCTGTAAAATGTCGGCTATACAGACGGTTGCATTCTGCGAGAGACTATACACAATATACAATTCAGATCTATATTATTGTAAAATATTGTTGAAAATACTTTATAATTGTTGTTTTAGGATCTAATAGGTCAAATGTCTGCAGACATATTGTCAATTTGCAAGGAGACAAAAGCTAGAAGCCTTGCTGCCTTGGTTCTTAGAAACCCCAGCCCCTGATTAAATCTAGATTCCTCAGTGGCCCTGTCCATGGTGCTGAATGGAACCTCCCTCTTATCAGATTACACACAGGCACCATGGCCCTACAGCTCATCCATTACAATCATTGATTGACAATGCCATTCATGAGCCCATGTCATGATGAGTGCAAATTAAAGTCACATCCTTGGAGCATTTGAGCGAGATGTGGGTGTGTAAGATTCAGACAGTGGGCTAATGGACAAATCTGAAATGGATATCTCAGGGATCAAAAGTATTTGAATCAAAGGGAGCCAACAGTTATTCAGGGTGATCACCCTTTCTTCAAGTTCTGCATCCTTACTTCACCTGTAGGGGGCGCAATAAAATAGGCAGACTGGGAGCTGAGTCTGACATGAATGAAATCAGAAAGAGGTTACTTCTGAGTAAATGCTTTAGGCCTATATCATCATGCTGTAAAAAAGTGACAATGTTTGACATTTTACTTTTGTCTGTGATTTATTCAAAGTTGCCACTTGCAGCACATTACGGAATTATGTTTTGTTAAGTAGGCATACGCCAGCTAATCATAAGAACAGCACTAACAAGCAGAAACTCTGGAAATGAATGGTTCCCCACATCACTAAACGTTATTTGACATTTATGAGAGAAGATCACCTTTCCAACTTTAAAACAGGCCGGGTGCTGTTGGGCGTAGGGCTCAGGGCTCCAACGATAAAGTATATTTATGATGGAAAGAAGGATGGAATGCAGCTGTATGCTAATGATGCCCCGATCCTTCAGTGCTTCCCCTCGCGAAGGGCAGCACGCGCCACTGAGCAAACAAGCACATGCGTCCGCCGAAACCAAGGCCACCTCACCAGCACACGCGCTCTAGAATTTATCACGGGGAAAGAGGAACTTGTTAAAAATGCCATCAAAGCGTGTAGCCCACGAACCACGACTGATTTAATGTGCCAGCTGAAACGTTGTCGAAAAAACACGGACTATAGCCAAAATACATATAAGGGCAAATGCATGACCTGTTAGCCGGCCTATTATGTGAGTGTGACTGGCCTGTAGCATAGCCCTAACATATTTTTTTAAATTATTTGTAGTGTTTAAAACAATACGGCCTGATAAGGGAAGGAAAACTTGCTTTAAACTCGTTAATGTTCAATTTACAAAGACATTGCCAAATGCATAATTTCAGAGAGACAAAATGTGAATTCCACAAAGCTAACGGTTTGCATTCAAGCAAGTGAAAACGCATCAGACCAGAGCCAGCCATTCAAAAGGCGCATGTCTCAGCTAAGGATTGTGTAATTATTTGACTTGGTCATACAGCAGCTTTATGCAAATGAGGAGAACAATACCCGATGATGGAGATTCATTCTTGCCTGCAAAGAAAAAGAACGCACGCTCTGTCAAGTGGCGCATGCACATTCATTTGAAGAAATTATGATGAAACGCAGGCAACCATACCAGACATATAATATTCGCATAGGCCTACAGTAGGCTACTGTGGATGATCGGCCTTGTAAGCATACTAAACCTAAACCTGATGGCTGTAAAATTCCATAGGCTTACATTTACATTTAATGTATGCACAAAACTGACAATAAGTTCTCTGAAAAAACCTGAATTTGACTTTGTAGGCTACAAAACACAACACGAACGTTTGCTTAATTTACATTGCCTTTTGAAATAAATGTTCAAAGAATTCAAACATGCAAAGTGTTTTATCATAACCTCCTACATGAAACTAAAAGTGACTTAATTAAATCAATTTAACCAATCATGATTTGAAGACAGGAGACAAGAGACAATAATTTATTCCAAATGTAGCCTAAAGTTTAGAATAACATTTTGAAAGCCAACTGATATTTCACAAAATGAAGAATACTAGGATAAGGATGTTTCAAATTATTTCAACAAGAATGGGGCAATATCAAGCAAAAACAGTTTGCAAACAGTGATTTTTAGAGACATTTTTATTATTTTTTATATCGTTGCACATAACATCCATATCACATTCCATACATGGACTTGAGATGTGTCCTGGAAAAGGGGTGCAGATGTAATAGTGCGAGCAGCACTGTGTGCGCGCGGCCTGACGTTCGGGCTGTGGCCCTCTTTGTTTGGAGCGCTGATTACACACAGCACGCGCCTATCCCTGGGCCAGATTGGCCGTGAGTCCTATTTCACAGGTCAATTTGCCTTTCAAACGAAAACCGCATATGCAGCGTGGGCAGACGTGGCTATTATGTACCACGACCAGAGGCCCTTCTTATTACTTATGTATGCAGTGCGATGTCTGATTTATAACTCCAGTTAAACTGCCGAGACAGACGCGTGCCCAAATAAATACATTCGTACCAAGTAATGTTTATTTTCAAGAAGTCTTGCCTTAATTGTGTAAAATACTAACTCTGCTTATCAAATATCCATAGGTAATGCTAATGTCACACACAGTTGGCACATATGTTGTCCCTTGGAGGCTCGTGCGTAAAGCTTGCTTTTGGCTGGGGGAAGGTGCCATTAACCCACAATACAACAATATGTGTGTGCCATTGCTTTACAATTGACACTGACATCATTTGCCCAAGTTTTTTTTTTTTTTTTTTTTTTTGTCTTTTATTCTATAAATGCAAATAACACCTTGCAACTTCTTTGTTGCCTTCTCAACCAGATCCCCCTCCCCGGCTTCAGTCCCCATCCTAATTCTAAATTCTGATGATTGTGGCAGTGACGGACATTTCCTTTTGGCAGCTCAGTGACCCCCAAAGGAGAACCACAAAGCCGGGGCACGTGTGCATTTGTAAAGAGAACCATCAGACCTTAAAAAGAGGAGGGCCCGGCGTGTGCCTCTGTCGGGGAAGGACCGAGCGCCGACATTAACGTAATAAACCGCAACTACATCTGCTAAGCTATCTGCACATCCTCCAACGAAATCCACCAAACCCAGGCTTTGAACCCTCCCACTCCCACATTGAAATCCACTGGGATCTTCGTTTCGTCTGATTGGTTGAGGATGCGGCAACAAGGGGCGAGAACAATAGCATTATTCCGGCATAAAAAGAGTGCAGCTATGCCTTGGAGACGACAGCATTTCAGCAACACACAGATCAATAGCTTGGCGAAAATATAAATTAGCAACCGAGGCTCCCGGTGTGACTGTAATTCCACAAATCTGGATATCATCCGACACTTCGCCCACCTCTCCAAAGTGCCTTTCTGTCATTCGCAAAGATGCCCAAAGGATTCCTGGTAAAAAGAAACAAGAAATCAGCGCATGTTTCCTACAGGACTCGTACCGATGAATATGAGCAGGAGCATCACATCCCAGACTTTCAGAGTCAGGTGGACTCTTCTCCGCCTGTCTCTGTGGCGTCCTGTCCGGGCCGTGCAGCCCCATCGCCGGACATCGCAGCAGACGCCCCGATCACCAGGCTGGATGCTGAAGCGGTTCAGTTTGGCAACCCCGAGGCGATGTACCAAGCCCTCTACAGCCCCACCCGGCCCATCAGCAAGGACCATGAGAGGAGATATTACGGGAGAAGTTTCAATCTAGGCTCGCCAATTTCTGCCGAGTCATTCCCGACACCTGCCTCCATCAGCAGCTTAGATCATCTCCTATTCGCCCCCGTGGATTTGAAAATAGGCACCAGCAACAGCAACCGCAGCGGCATCACCAGCAGCATCCCGGCAACAGTCATCAGGGGCGGTACCAAGAGGCCAGCATCTGACACTGAGCGCAAGAGCAAACCTGCATCCAAGAAACCCAAAGCCATCAGAAAACTGAATTTTGAAGACGAAATGACAACGTCTCCAGTACTTGGTCTTAAAATCAAAGAGGCTCCTGTCGACTTTAAACCCAGAACGCAGACATCCGCAGGCGGGAAGCCTTTAGGAGAGTTTGTCTGCCAATTGTGTAAGGAAGCTTATGCGGACCCATTTTCTTTAGCCCAGCACAAATGCTCTAGGATAGTGAGAGTTGAGTACAGGTGTCCTGAGTGTGATAAGATGTTCAGCTGTCCGGCTAACCTCGCCTCTCACCGGCGCTGGCACAAACCGAGAGCGCAGAGCGCAGCCGGGATACCATCCACTCAGAGAATCAAATCTGAAATCGCCAAAATGCCCCCCGCTGTCAAGTCCATCCCGGAGGAAGCCAAAGACTCAAGAGCCGAGCTACTGAGAGACAGAGACACCCCAAGCCCAGGTGTGTCTGAATCGGGCTCAGAAGATGGTTTATACGAATGCCAATATTGTGGGAAAAGATTTAAGCGTCAAGCATACCTAAGAAAACACATTCTGGGACACCAAGCCTTGCAGAATAAAATGTTCGAGGACCACGTGTTTCAAAACAGCGACAAAGTGGAAGAGCAGGTGCCAGTGTCCTCCTCATCCTCAGAGGAAAACCCAAACCAAAGTCCCCTGAATCTGAGCCCCGTGGACTGCCTTCTCTGCCCCGTTTGCGGGGAGAATTTCCCCAACAGGGCCTGCCAGGAGAGACACCTGCGTCTCATGCACTGCTCCCAGGTTTATCCCTGCAAGTATTGCCCTGCCACTTTCTACAGCTCACCGGGACTCACGAGGCACATCAACAAATGCCATCCGTCGGAAAATAGGCAGGTGATCCTGCTTCAAATGCCTGTGCGCCCCGCTTGCTAAACACAAGAAAACGCGTGCCTTGGACCGGAGCGTTGAAAAAAAGTGAATTGCCTAGACTACTGAAAGACAGGGCAACTTGATGTTTAGATGTGTGTGTTCGATGAGAGGTGTTCTATCAATGCCAATCAGCTGGTTGTTGAATGCTTATCTATTCCTTGAATAAAAAAATAGGTATATATTTTGAGATTTCTCTCAAATTAGTTTATCGAAAGAAAACAAAGCGTTAGTTTGACTGTTAAATGTATTTTTCTAGGACAGCGGCAGACGTGCTCAAGTAATAGCTTCTAGACCTAAGAACTGTTTAATTTGATATGGGTATATCCCCTCATAACAGCCTTTTAATTCACCGACTGTGAATTTCTGTATATCATGAAACTTTATGTTAACTTATGAATCACAGGACAGACTTATCAACTTTGTCTTAAAAACTTAAAACTACCGAAACATTTCCCTTTAGTAGAACCACAAATGCCTTTAGAATATAAGCACATCAAAACTCTGCTGTGTAACTGCCTTAAAAAAGTCAACACAATAATGATTGTTTTAATTTAGAATGCGGGCACATATTTTATTATTAATTGTTGCAATATTGTTTAATCATAATAATGTTATTTATTTATTATATTTGAAATTATCTTATGTAATTTATTGTTGTGTTGTGTGATTATTCTGTGGGTCGTTCTGGCAGTTCACATGTTGTAGCCAAATGTTTTGTCAAAATTATGAGTTGTGATAAATGTCGTGGATCGGTCTAAATCTTCAATCTCCACAGCTCTTGTAAAACGTAAAGCTCTTACCTTAGATGCAATCTTTTTCTATGAACAGGTTATTTTCTTAAATGTTGGCTTTTATAGCGCTTTGATTGTACGTGTACACTGTTGTCCCATTTATCCATCGAAATAAAAAAAATATTTTCAAAATGAAACCATTTATTTTGCTCTAGTTTGACATTGACATAAACTGTCTGAAAAATACTAGGCCTACATCACCCATGTGTGCCCGCCCTGACTTCCAGACATATACCTACAACAATAAAATAAAGGGCCAGGCTATAGGGAAGTATCAATGAAACTTGTCTGAAATAATTCTCTGATCTTTACAAAACAAAACAATGACATTTTGATTGTGTAAATTAAATATAATGGAAATCCATCTGGGTAAAAACTCAGAAGACACAATGTTCACCCAAATAATTCTGGATACACTTTTAGAGGTTTCTTCTAAATGGTAGGCTATTGGGAAATGGGTGCATATGGGGGAAAAGTTGTCTTGAAAATCCTTCCTATTTCCATTTCCCCACTGGACTTACACAACAAAATATCACACACATTATTTCCCTCAGCTTCTCAACATTCATTCACTAGCCTATTTAATTGAATCTTTAGGTGAAAGCTCAAATCCAAACTTATATGTGGCCTACACAAGTGGGTAATTAGTAAAGGGTGAGTAATAGCATAATTACCATGGATATTCAAGCCAGGATGCAAGCCTATTCCCTGTTTATTTTTTTTATTTATTTCACCTTTATTTAACCAGGTAAGCCAGTTGAGAACAAGTTCTCATTTACAACTGCGACCTGGCCAAGATAAAGCAAAGCAGTGTGATAAAAACAACAACACAGAGTTACATATGGGGTAAACAAAACAAAGTCAAAAATACAACAGAAAATATATATACAGTGTGTGCGAATGTAGTAAGTTTTGGAGGTAAGGCAATTAATAGGCCATAGTGCAAAATAGTTACAATTTCGTATTAACACTGGAATGATAGATGTGCAAAAGATGATGTGCAAATAGAGATACTGGGGTGCAATTTAGCAAAATAAATAACAATATGGGGATGAGGTAGTTGGGTGGGCTAATTTCAGAAAGGCTGTGTACAGGTGCAGTGATCGGTAAGCTGTTCTGACAACTGACGCTTAAAGTTAGTGAGGGAGATAAGTCTCCAGCTTCAGAGATTTTTGCAGTTCGTTCCAGTCATTGGCAGCAGAGAACTAGAAGGAATGGCGGCCAAAGGAGGTTGGCTTTGGGGTAGTGGTAGCCAGGTGGAAAGCATTGCCAGCCGTAGCAAAATGCTTGTTGAAATTCTCGATTATTGTAGATTTATCGGTGGTGACAGTGTTTCCTAGCCTCAGTGCAGTGGGCAGTTGGGAGGACTTTACAGTGTCCCAAAACTTTTTGGAGTTAGTGCTACAGGATGGAAATTTCTGTTTGAAAAAGCTAGCCTTTGCTTTCCTAACTGATTGTGTATATTGGTTCCTGACTTCCCTAAAAAGTTGCATATCGCGGGGGCTGTTCGATGCTAATGCAGTACGCCACAGGATGTTTTTGTGCTGGTCAAGGGCAGTCAAGTCTGAGGAGAACCAGGGGCTATATCTGTTCTTAGTTCTGAATTTTTTGAATGGGGCATGCTTATTTAAGATTGAGAGGAAAGCACTTTTAAAGAACAACCAGGCATCCTCTACTGATGGAATGAGGTCAATATCCATCCAGGATACCCGGGCCAGGTCAATTAGAAAGGCCTGCTTGCTAAAGTGTTTTAGGGAGCGTTTGACAGTGATGAGGGGTGGTCGTTTGATCGCGGACCCATTACGGACGCAGGCAATAAGGCAGTGATCGCTGAGATCCTGGTTGAAGACAGCGGAGGTGTATTTAGAGGGTAAATTTGTCAGGATGATATCTATGAGGGTGCCCATGTTTACAGATTTAGGGTTGTACCTGGTAGGTTCGTTGATAATTTGTGTGAGATTGAGGGCATCTAGTTTAGATTATAGGTTGGCCGGGTGTTAAGCATATCCCAGTTTAGGTCACCAAGCAGTACGAACACTGAGGATAGATGAGGGGCAATCAGTTCACATATGGTGTCCAGGGCACAGCTCGGGGCTGAGTGGGGTCTGTAGCAAGCGGCAACAGTGAGAGACTTATTTCTGGAAAGGTGGATTTTTAGAAGTAGAAGCTCAAACTGTTTGGGCACAGACCTGGATAGTACGATAGAGCTCTGCAGGCTATCTCTACAGTAGATTGCAACCCCACCCCCTTCGGCAGTTCTATCGAGACGGAAAATGTTGTAGTTGGGGAATTTTTGGTGGGCTTCCTAAGCTAGGATTCAGACACTACAAGAACACCAGGGTTGGCGGAGTGTGCTAACGCAGTGAATAACTCAAACTTAGGGAGGAGGCTTCGGATGTTAACGTGCAAGAAACCAAGGCTTTTACGATTACAGAAGTTAACAAATGATAACGCCTGGGGGGTAGGAGTGATACTGGGGGCTACAGGGCCTGGGTTAACCTCTACATCACCAGAGGAACAGAGGAGGAGTAGAATAAGTATATGGCTAAAGGCTTTAAGTACTGGTCTTCTAGTGCGTTGGGTACAGAGAAGAAAAGGGGCAGGTTTCCGGGCGTTGTAGAATAGATTCAGGGCATTATGTACAGAAAAGGATATGGAAGGATATGAGTACAGTGGAGGTAAACCTAAGCGTTGGGTAACGATGAAAGAGATAGCATCACTGGAGGCACCGATTGAGTCGGTCTCCGCATGTATGGGGGGTGGGACAAAGGAGCTATCTAAGGCAGGTTTAGCTGGGCTGGGGGATCTACAGTGAAATAGTACAATAAGAAATAACCGAAACAGCAATAAGCAAGGCATATTGACATGGGAGAGAGGCATAAAGCAATCACAGGTGTTATTCGAGAGAGCTAAGACAACAGCTGGTAATGGCGACAAAGTTTGGGCTGAGGCTAAACATAAACAATATTCGGTACCGTAAAAAGGAACAGTCCCGCAGGCATCAGCTGTGTAGCTGAGTTATCATAAGGTCCGGTGAACAGCAATAGGATAGTTTGGAGGTAGTTCAGGGGCTGCTATAGCACTAGCGAGCAAGAGGCCACGGCCGGGGCTAGCAGATGGATCTTCGTGGTCGACGTCGTAACGGGAAGCCTGTTGTAACCACCCTGTGGATGCATCATTTCTACAATGATGTGTCTGGATGAGGGACTAAAACGGGTACACACTGACATCAAGGACAGAGACATTCCAAGTCGGTCTGATCGGAACATTCCAATTTAATTCCTCATTGACCCTTTTCAGGTTTCGTTGAACTATAGACACAATCCTGATGCCTGCAATGTCTTGCAGGAAACTGAAAATATGCCCTATTTATTGTCGATTTATCATTGCTATGATGAGTCATGCCACACACTATCATAAAGTAATGTCTCAAAAGGCCTGGTTTGGTTTCCATGAAGAAGAGACAGAGAGCACTTAGCTTCCAGTCATACAGTATATTGCCATAATGCCTGGTCAGAACATGGCAGCAGGACAGAGGTGACAGCCACCCAACTCACCTCTAGATTAGAAGGACATTTGTCTTCTCTAAAGGAGACCCAAGAGTTCGATTTTCCCTTTTAAATGGCTGTCTGACTGTGTAGGCTAAGCCTTTGAACAGCCAGGTTCATATTCACTCCCCATGAAAAGAGAGAAAGAACTTCCAGAAGCATTTGTGTGGCTTCAGCCAGCCCTCGAGGGGTTAACAATCATTGTTGGGTCATGACTGTGGATGCTGTCATGTAGTTCACTGATGAGGACAGGCTTCTAGGCAGCAGTCAGTCTACTCTACTTGACTATGGTGTAAAACACACATCCTGCTAATGAGAGAAGAAACAGACAGGATATATGTGGTAGTTTTGATATGTGACAATGTGAAAATAGACTTATCACATAACACATACCCATATCATAATTATTCTCCTTTCATAACTTGTGAATATTCAATCACATAATGTAGACAAATGCAGGAGTTTCATGTGACCCAAAGGGACAGGTTCAGACAAGATAGGCAGGCGCACGCACGTTTGGGGCTCCAATTATCGTCAAGTGCTCGTCTTAAGTCTTTAGCCATCCTACCAGTCAGGGCAGGGCAGAGGTAATGTAGGTGCTGTAGACTTTGCACTTGTACCTTCCAGTGAGTTCCCATTATCCCAGCCTCCTCCCCCCCTGGAG